TTCATCTCCTCCACGCTCCGCGAGGTTCAGGTGCCAGCCCCCCCTCCCCCCAAACCCTAGCTCTTCGATTCGCCCTAGAGTTTTGGTCTAATGGCATCTCGTTTCCGTTTTATGTCCAGTCCCTGCGTGACGAATTGGGCGACCCCGGGGACGAGTTCGATGACGAGCTATGGTAATCCCCAGATTTCATCATGCTGTGTCGGACACAAATCCTCCGCAGTCTGCTTAGTGTGTACTTCCATATTAATGATTTGACATTGCAATCTGTACTTTGTGTGTGTGTGTGTGTTTTGCAGCGTTGATGACCTGAGGGTGCTCTCTGAGGAGGAGCTTGTGGAGCGCGCTCTCCGGGAGGCTATGGAGGTGACCTCTCTACTGCTAATCCACTTGCTCTATTCCCTTTGGTGTCATTGGTATCTTGGTGATGCGAGTTTTTTACCCATGCATTTGTAGGAGGGCTGGGACTGTGGCGCTCCATCACAATCAGCAGATCAGAGTTCTGGCGCTCCATCACAGCCATTGGATCAAAGGTTAGATGGGGGGTAAGCAGTCTGCTTTGGTTGATGCTTGGTTGCTGTATTTTTTGGTGTGGTTGATTTCTTATCTTGTATGATGGCTTAGGCAAGTTGGATTAAATTCAACATGAGCAGAGGATGCTTGGAAAATGTTGGCATGGTGGTTACTAGTTAGCTTCCATGCCAATCAAAAAAAATTAGCAAGGTAGGCTTTCCCAAGGTGTCTGCTGTAGTATGTTTTACATGTCATGACATGCAAGTCAGAACTCGTAGCAAGAGCACCTGAGAATTAGTGTTGTAGTGACACTTTTGTGAACTTATTCTACCCCTAGCTGCATTTTTGACATTTGATAATTCGCTTTGTTTTGCCTTATATGGCTGATATGATCTGATGTGTTCTTTTGGTCTAGCACATGCAGAATGTCAGCGAGTTCCACCCCTGGAAATGAGACTGTCCCCTCAAGCGCATCAGCTGAAACACAAAGTTCAGTATCAGCTCCCGGTGATATGGCAATTGGACTGCATGAACCACAAGGCAGCAATGGGAAAACAAGAGGTGGAAAGAGGAAAACCAGAGAGAGGAATGGAAACAATGGTGCCCTCACCTCAGATTCAACAGCTGAAAGAGAGACATCTGGATCACCCGTTGAGTTGGCGATTGTACCACATGAATCAGAAGGGAGCAAGGGGAAACCCAGAGGCAGAAAGGGTAAAGATGTAACCTCTTCAACTCCATCAATTGAAAGTGAAACACCTGTATTGCCTAGTGAGGATATGTCAGTTGTTCCTCATGATCCAGAAGGTACAGATGGTCAAACAGAACGTAAAAAGTGTAAAAAGAGAGGCAGGCATTTTGATCGGGAAGTTCGAGCGCATATTTTACAGGTATGACACCATTTGTTTCCTACGTGCTTTGTTAAATGCATTTTTTTTATAAATCTGTCTTGTGTAGTCAGTGTAGTTGCTTTATGCCTTTGTTGCATCATTTCAGTTGGAGCATGTCCTCCTAGATTACTTTAGGTTTCTGGCTAAGAACCAATGATATACAGGGTTTGGCCATTTTGACAATATGATCAGCTGGTTAATAGAGACTTCTGCTGGCGCTGCCAGTTGGTAAGTTTGAAGAATATAAAGCAAGTCTGCGATAGTTGAAAAAGAAACTAGTTTAATTATCCAAACATTTCATATTTACCTATTCTACTAGAATAGATTGAATTCTGCAAAATATATTATAGAACCAGGCTTTAATGAGGATTGCCCAGGTTTCAGTGATATACATGTACATTGTAAAACATTTCCTGAATATTAGTTAGTGGTAGCCTGTGTATTCTCTCGTCATTTAAGTGCATTTATAAATGCATCCGTTTTAGCACCTACAAATATTGATCGTTGTTTTGCATCATATTTTTTCATGGTATTATCATAATCAGGGGAGTTATCTTAGTAAAGCAGAGAAGATGTCAGAGATCATGGTAAAGCAAGAAGATGACAAACGTGCAGCAAGGCTGCACTCATTCAGGTAACGTGGTTAAACTTTGTTTGCCTATATTTAGGCACCATGGATTTTCTTTGTGGCTTTTATTGAATCTTGGTGGGGTGGTATTATTCAAGCCATCACATAGAGATTCTGCCTGCACAATGGTAGATGTAATAACAGTTTGATACTAACTTAACTTTCTGGCATCCTCAATCTCTTACTTATAGAAAGACTTTAGTTTCTAAGATATGTTTTTGTTCAAACATAGCTGCAGAATTTTACGAAGTAGTATTCAGAACCAGATGTACTCAGTTCATTTTTGTTCTGACTCAGATTGATCTCAGAATTCTCGAAGCCTTGGAAACTGCTAAAGAACCTCTATTAAACATAATTAACGGTCTATTATACTCCATATGATTCACATATTTCCTCACCGTGATGTGCGCGCAGACAAAAAACCATTTAATTGAGTTGAAAATAGACTATGCCAATCCTAATCAAAGCACTGAAAGAAACTAATCGCTCCACATCACGCTACCATGCTGCCCACACTTCCTCCACCAACATCAATCCAGGCATGCGTGCTTGGCGTTTACCAGTTCCCCAACCAGCTTGCTCCCTGAGAAAGCCTTCCTGAGATTAAAAGGAAAAGGTTTGAAGGTTGATCTCTGGGAGACAGCTTTGATAGCAAGCTTTCGGATCGAACCGATATGCTACTGGTTCCTGTTCCAGTTTCAAATAAGATGGTTTCTCCTCAGAAAACTTTTGACATTAGTTAAGAGTAGTGTCCCCTCACCGAGTGCTTCTTGAGCATTTTGGTTGCACTTCCGCTGGTTTATTTGTAGGTAAATTGTGGTGCTGTGTTCAGGCAAATTTGGAGGCAATATTTTTGTATAATACACCAAATAGATTTTTATAACCTCTAAACAAACATAAAAGCAGCATTGTCAGCTGCAGTTGCGTAAGGTTGGTTTCACTTCAGCCATTTTAGAATGCATAGATTCAACCGTTCGTATGCAAGTGTGCGGGAGTCGTACTAATAATAGAGCATATAGATGGAGTAGATGAAATGTGACTTCGTAACAGGAACTAGCATAGAGCCTCGTATGTGGAGACGTGGAATGCTAGGAGTGCATCAAATGTGAGTTTTGCCTGGAACAAGGTTTCTTTCAGTACCGTGAAGCTTGGGAAAACAGAAATCAGCATATATTATTTGGGTCACCAGGGAGAAAACGTCGCTAATGCATCATATATTGAAACAGGTGTCCTGAGGCTGGGGACATTGAAGCTTGCCCTTAGCCCCTTAGTCTTTGTGTCAAGTTGGACCTAGCTCCTTTGGATTTAGATCCTGATGGCCATGTCATCATTTACTATTACTCCCCCCGTTCCAGAATATAAGGTGTATTGGTTTCCATGCAAGTCAACCATTTAAAAGTTTGACCAAGATTATAGAACAAAATAGGAACATCTGCAATACCTTATAGATAAAATATGAAACTATCTTTCATGATCGATCAAATGATATAAATTTGATATTGATATATTTTTCTAAAAACTTGGTTAAACATGCACTCGTTTGACATTTAAAAAAACAAATACACCTTATATAAAGGAACGGAGGGAGTATTAATTAATTACTGAATAACTGCTCAAGAGAAACTAAATAATTTTGTCCTTAATTATCTTATGTTATCCAATTAAGACCATAATATAGATGCTTTTGTTTGATCTGCTCTGTTCTTTACAATATTATTATTTGAGTGCAGTGGTGATTCTGTGATGTCCAAAGGCTCTAAGGCATCGGCGGAGAAAATTGACTTGGCAAAATCTCTTAAATACAACAGTGCCCACAGTGCCCCCTGGAAGGTATGGTTTTGTCACTTGCAACATGCAAACATTTCTTTATGGAAGTTCTTTTTGTTTTCAGAAATTTTCTCTTCTCACCGTTTTTTTTGTGTTCCAGAACAAAGCTTCGAAATCTGACGAACACATGCCTATAGTTTATCCAGAAGCAATTCTTTGTGTCGAAATTTATGAGTGCAGGCATGGCTCTGTGAAAGTAATTTCTTGGAACTTTCGTTACATGCTCTTATCTTTATGTTGAAATATGCGTAGATTAAGTTTTGTTGTGATCTCTTTGCCTCGTGCAGAATCAGGAATTTCTTGTGTTGGGGAGCCAGCTCCTCACAGATCTGAAGGACAATATTTACTGTTCGACTAATAAGTTGATGGAGTTGAACAAGCTACACAATCATTCTGGCTATTTTCTTATTGAGGTTTTGCTTTCTTTTAATTCTTTTGCAAATCTATGATGACACACTATTGCAGAAGTGCCACGGCTTCGCTTATCTCCACTCTTTTATCAGGACACGTTCTACAATGACACTAGACATTATTCTGCCGTTGATTACAGTAAGCCTATACTTGACTGGCTTGACAATTCCAGTGATGAGGTGGCGGAGAAGTGGGACGCCATTAGTTCTGGCGTGTTGAAGAAACGACAAAAGGACTTATTGAAGGGCTTGCATATTTCAAATGTGCCCGAGTTTAAATCTGCAAACATGCAAAGTACCTACTTTTCAGACCTGCACTTCCGGCTTGGTGCCGGGTACCTCTACTGCCACCAGGTTCCACTCTTATTCTCTTCATCGTATCTAACCAGTCCCTTAGTTGTTGAGAAAAAGATTTGGTGTCTAGAATCTAAGAACAGATAACTTAGAACTGCCATACTGTGTGACGCTTAATATTCAATTTGCGTGCGCAGAAAAAATTGTATATCATCTTGTTTTATATTAAAGAAAGAACCGATATCATTTCCCTCATGTCTCTGGCCTGCACATTTTCAGGGGAACTGCAAGCACACGTTTGTGATTAGAGACATGAGGCTGATCCACCCGGAGGACACGCAGAACCAAGCGGAGTACCCTCTCATGACGTTCCAAATGCAGAGGCGTTTCCAGAAGTGTTCAGTGTGCCAGATCTACCTCGCCACGAAGATGACGGTGGACGATAAATGGGCTCCCAATAATCCCTGCTATTTCTGCAAGCAGTGCTACTACCTCCTCCACTACAAGGAGGACGACTCGCTGTTATACCATCATACCGTGTATGATTACTTCCAAGAGTAGAAGGTTTCTTTTCTTCTCCATACCAAAAGCCATGAAGGCCTGGCTTTTACCGCTGGTTCTCTCTTTGTGTACAGTATATTCAATTTTGAAGGTTTTATAGGGAATTTATTTTTGAAAGGTTTGATGTGTATTCTTTGGCTGCATACGTTTTTGAATTTTGAAAGTCACCGGGTGTGTAAATATATGAACCGCCTTTTCCAAATTATACTCTATATTGCTCATTGATTGCTAAGGTTGCGGGAGCTTGCTCATTGATTGCTAAGGTTGCGGGAGCTTGTGGCACTAGTGTCGATTCGACTAGGAAGAAACTATCTCATGCCAATTAGATATGTGTTTCTTGCTTATCATGGCTTCAAAATAACTAAAGACTAATCCACAAAAAACAACAACTTCAGGCTTACCAGGAAAAAATATAACTTCAATCTTGGGTAGAACTTAGAGCATAATTGGTTTGATGCCAAAAGTTGGCATGCCAAATTTTGGCAAGTGCCAAATATAGGCTAGAGATTGGTTGCTTGTCAATTTTCATTACCAATCTCATAAAAAGTTATCAAATGTTGGCAACTTCTGATTTTGCCAAATGTTGGCTCCAAATATTGACAATGCCAAATGTCGGTAGCAAACTAATTATGCTTTTAGAAAGCAAAGACTGGAGCAACAATAAATGGAAGTAGTTTGCAAAAAAAAAAAAACGGTAATAGAGTAGTTTGTTTTCATCCTAGCAGGCAAGCCACCTTTTCTTTTTAAACGTGTGGGCGTTTGCATCTCGCTCACACACATGGATCA